GCGGGGCCAGAAAGGAAAGCCTTTGTTGATTTTACTTCTTGATATTCTATAATCACCAGGATTACAATCTAAGCAAAAAAGCAAAACAAATAAACACCGCCCCCTTACTGGATCTTTGGTCTTTGTCTGGAAAATTATGAGACAACAACAGACACACTGACTATATAAGCCAGCCTTGGGTGCTGTGCGGTCTGGGCAGCTCAGACAGGTGGAGAACGGGCTGGGGGCTCTGGACACAGAGGGTTCCCTTGGCTTCAAGTGCGGGTGGTTGAGGAGCTCCTGGGAGACATGCGTGCCTGCTGCTGAGCCCGCTCCCCTCCAGCCTCTCTGCCACATCAGCTACTTCCAGCAGCGTAGGTAGGGTTCCCTATCTCCAGGCACCCTGGACTTAACTAAACGTGTGGGTGCAGGCCCGGGGACCAGGCAGGCTCCCCAGCCAGCCCTCCTGTTTTCCCACCCACAGGTCTCGGGACCTGGAAAGGCAGTCCGAGTAGAGCCAAGCCCAGAGGGGGTTGATCTCTGGGGTGATCTCTTGGGCCAAGGAGGGGCACCTCTAGGGCATCTCTGGGGTGATGCATGGTGACACTCTGGGGCTGCGGAGGTTTGCAGGAAGGCCTGAGCTCACTTGGCAATGCAGAGCCTCCTAGCCAGCCAGCGTGCTCCAAGAGGATCCCCTGGGAGGGACAGCTGGGGCACAATCCCTTTCCGGGAAGGGCTGTGAACACAGCTTAAAATTCATGCCCTTGGGCGCCTGGGTGGGTCAGTGGGTTAAGCCGCTGCCTTCAGCTCAGGTCATGATCTCAGGGTCCTTGGATCGAGTCCCGCATCGGGCTCTCTGCTCAGTGGGGAGCCTGCTTCCCTCTCTCTCTCTGCCTACTTCTCTGTCTACTTGTGATCTCTCTCTGTCAAATAAATAAATAAAATCTTAAAAAAAAATTTATGCCCTCATCTCTCACTGTGGATGGCATCCTCTTGTCTCCTACTAGCTGGGAAGTGGCTGGCATGCCTGTCCCCTCCCAGGCTGCCAAGGAATGGGGCCAGGCAGAAAGCCACGGATGCTCAGAGGAGGGGATCCCTCCAAGGGCCCCATCTGACTTCCTGCAGGCCCCAGTAGAGCCAAGAGTGGAAGGTCCAGGGCACAGTGGTTCAGAGCCACTGTGGTTCTGGGCAGCCAAGAATCACTGAACACGTTTCCCAGCAGCGGCACTGCAGCACAGAGCTCCCTGGCATTCTTCTCCACTCAAAGTTGACCCGGGATGATAGGATCCCACCTGCCCAGTCCCTTGCTCCCACTGTGGTGGTTTGCTGGTCCAAAGCTGGGGCTCTCAGACCAGCTGCACTGGAACAGACCCCAGAATTTCCAGGATGAGACATACTGAGCTGTAGATCACATTCAATTGAATTCTCTAAACTCCAACCCTCAGATGGGGCCTAAGACAATCATTCTCAGGCCTTGACCTAAGGCAAGTGATTCTCAGTTGAGACCCCACAGGGACACCCCAGGCTGAACTCGGTTCCATTCGGCTCTGGATGACTCACACACAGAACCTTATTCCCTAAAGTGTGTTAAGATGGCAGTGCTTAGCATGAGACTACACTTCCCAGACTCCTTTGCAAACAAGGGTAACCGTATTACCAAATTCTGGCCCATAACATAGGAATGGAAGTGTTGTGTACAACCTCTGGGTCCTGTTCTTGAAAGGAAGCAGCTTGCCCTCCACTTGTCTTCCCTGCTTCCCACTGGCTGGAATGCAGTTACAATGGTAGGAGCTGTACCACAGACAAGAGAGTGGCACCCCAGGGATGGCAGAGTCGCCAGCTGCAAGGAGCCCAGGGGGCTGATCCCCAACGCTCTGCGGCTGCCATGTCAACCCCAAACTGCTGTGTGAGCATGAAATATCCTCTTTGATGAAAGTCACTGTTGTATTGGTCTCTGCCACACCTGCATGGTATTCTAACTGCCACGGAAGGGTTTGCAAAAGGTAAGAAGCATCTTTGGAAACACACTGGGAATTCCTACTAGATATCTTAATTTTTCCCTGTCTTTATTTATTTATTTATTTCATTTTGTAAGAAGCATCCCTCAGACGGCAGATTGACGGGAAGCCCCGTGAGACCCAACGGCACAATTGCGAGAATCAAGGTAGGTTCTTAAAGTCAGTACGACTTAGAAGCCGGCATTTGTGAGACCCCCCCGGGCTCAAGAACAAGGATCCGCCCCCGCCCCCCGCCACCATCTTGCAACAGGTGAGGCAAGGGCTGCGCACCCGAGTTTCCCTTCACCACCGATAAGCACAACATTGTGATTGAACCACTGACAACTCTGCTGTAGGGCACGGAAATTTGGAAACATCAGGAAATCAAGCTGTGAAGTCTTTGAAGGAATGTGATTTATGTGAAAATGTGATGAAGCTGATGTGTTTGGCTCCAGCGTTGGGCGGCACGCCGGATTTTGGAGCCCAATCTGACGCCTTCTCGGCTCCCCGCGCACCTCTGGCTTCCCCCAACGCAGTTGGCTGGTGCCCTGCGTGTGTGCCAAGGCTCGTCGCGCGTGACGCTTGCACTGGGGCCTGACTTCCAGGCCGTGCGTCTCTAACCAGCGCCACGCGCACATGTGCACGCTCAGGAACCGCGTGCAGCTCGCTCCCCGCCCCCAGATACACAGGCGCGCCAAGTGTTATTAGATTTACGGGGAGTTGGTGGTTGTTTCACATGATTTTCATGATGCATTGCAGACTTTCCTCCAATTAAGCGTCAGAGGCTGACTCGGGTCTGGATGGCACCCCCAGATTTCACAGAGCTTAATCCCCTTGCCCCTAGGTGTTCCTGTCTGTCATGGGGAGGCTCCCGCGTGGCAGGGGGGGTGGTGTATTGTGGGAGGTAGAGGCAAGGAGGAAAGGAAAAGGGAGCAGACAGAATACAAGAAGGAGGACAGTGGCCATGGGTGGCTTCTAGGCCAAGGGCCCTCTGTGTATGCTGGGGAGGACCCAGGCCCAAGGCTCAGACCATGTGGACACCACAAAAGGCATCTTTGCCTTCGGATTAAACTCTGGCTAACACGGTCTCCAGAACCTCCTGGAAGTGGGGTGAAATCGTGGCCCCAGTGCTTCGGACCTGGCTCTGCGGAGCTGGGCCTGGAGGGGCCGGCTGGGGGCTACGGATCTTGGTACAGACTCTAGATTCTTTCCTTCACCTTACAGAAGGGGACTTAGAGCAGAGGGTGAGTGACTGGCCTGAGGTCACACAGTGAAGCGGTCACAGAACATGGATGTGCCCGCCTCCTGGCTCCCTGGCTTGGGCTGCCCTGCCCTGCTCACGTGACATTGGTGCCCACTGTTACTGAAACCATCGCTCAGACCCCTGTGGGGAGTGGACCAAAGCTGGGCCCAGACACTTTACACTCAACCATCTGACCAGCGTGCATGTGCCCAGCACTGTACAGGGCCCAGGGGACGGCGGAGCACAGGGAAGTTTCCTGGGGGTAAGCTGCAGGGTCTTCCCGGTTTCTGGGTGCTCTGCAGAGTACTGAAGAGGTAGGGGGGGCCCTCTAGGGAAGCACGGAGGCTAGCTTCAGTCTGGGGTCTCCCTGGAGGTCCTGAGGCAGCTAGGCGGGGGGTGGGGGGCCGTGTGAAGCCTGGAGTGGGGCAGGGCCTACAGAAGAGCTGATGTGTCTGCTGAGGGCAGAGGCATGGGATATGCAGACGAGGACAGGGGAGAGTGACCCACCCTGGGGACAGCAGGAGGTTTAAACAAGATGGGTGTGTCACATCTGTAGTTAAGAAGGATTCCATGGGACACACCCTGAGCCTAGAAGGCCCCTGGGCCTCCTCGTTCTAGATTCCTGGAGCCAGGGCATCAAGGCCAAGATCACTGGGGGTACCCCCCAGCTCCTGGCTCAGGAGGATGGCCCAGTCTTGGGGCCCGGCCCCTGGGTGGCTGGGCCTTGGCCCATTGGGGTCTCCCTTCCCACCCAGACCCCTCTGCCCTTCCTGTCCCTAACCCCAACCTTGAGAATGGGGGGTAATGCCCCAGTCTGAGCTCTGAGGACCTCTGAGGATGAGCTGGTCACTGTGGGGGCCATCAGGCCTCAGCTTGGATACTCCCAGCAACAGGATGCTCATGATCCCCCAGGAAAAGACATTTCAGCTGCTCTCTGTATATATGTCCATCAGCCTCTTTCCTGCAGCCCTGCTTCCAAGGGCGGCACGGGCTCCAAGGGACCCGGGGACCCCTTCTCTTAGGTCCTGTATGATGACATGTCTTTTCACTGAGCCTCAGAGAAGAATGTTCTGGAACCCTGGGCCCTGCACACTGTCTGGGTCTTCTCGGGTCTGGCAGACCCGTGTCTGTTCTTCCTGAGTCCAGGCAGCAAGGAGAGGCCACCGAGAGCCCCCAGCGGCTGCCCGTGGAAATGAGGCACAAGCCGTGCCCAGCTCTCCAGACTCCCCGGGCGTTCTGCATTCAGAGAGCTGCACCTGTCAGATGCTTCAGAGAACATCACTTTGCTGGAGAAACGAAATCCAGCTCATTCTGGTCATCAGCATGCCACCCAGTCTGGGAGCCTCCGGTGGAGCCAGCCCCGCGTCTGGGAGCAGATGGGCTGGGGGCTGGAGGCAGGCCAGTTCTGGCCAGCCCCTCCTCTGTCTCTAGGCCTCACTGTCCCCGGACCGCAGCTGCTCGCCCGTCTGCGGCCCACAAGACAGCAGTGCCTGGCTCCCTTGGTTCCACTCCTCAAGGACATGGCCTCGTGCCTCTGAGCCTCACCGTTGCCATCTGCAATGTGGGCCCGCAGTCCCTGATGTTCTGGGCCCTGGCTACTGTGTAGGAGGCTCAGAGAGTCAAGTGAGAGTAGAGTAGGGGGGGGTGACCCTTAGGAAAGCTGTGGTCACTAGCGTCTGAGCAGGATGACCACAGAGGGCCTCTGACCCGCCCGTGTGGTGCTGGCCTGGCCTCCAGTGCTGGACCCCGGGCCGGCTGGACCAGGGCTGCTCAGTACTCACACATGGGTTTCAGTTGCCCGATGAGCTCCTCTTTCGTCCATTTCGCCCACTCCTTCTTGTCGGTGTTGATGGAGCAGAGGATGGGGCCGCAGGGCTTCCCGCAGTCTTCGATGGCTGGGACATTCAGGTAGTGCACCAGGACGATGTCGGGGTTCTGCAGGGAGAGTACAGAGACGGGCAGCATGAGGGAAGCATGGAGCCCATCCAAGGGGACATCCCCCCCAGCAGGTGCAGATAGGCCAAGCATCCCCACACCAGGCTTTCTCATCCTTGGCACTGCTGACATCTGGAACGAGATCCTTCTCTGGTGCGGGGCTGCCCTGGGCACGGGTTTCCACCCACGGGAAGCTAGTAAACCCTGCCCCCTCCCCAGGTGTGACAACCAGGAGTGTCTCCAGCCATTACCCACTGTCCCCCGAGGGACAAAATCACCCCCAGCTGCAAACCACAAGGGCTGATTGGTGCATAAAGAACCACACATGAGGCCGGACATATCACTGGTCTAGCATTCGGGACTTTATGCCGATGGCTGCCCAGGAGCTCTGGCCCCTGGTCTGAGCATTTCCTCACCACAGCTTGCTGGACGCCCCCCACACAGGCATCATCACCCCCTTCCTCCCCAGAAATGGAGGTGCCTCGCCTCTAAGGGCTGGACAGCCCCTGCCCTTTAGCCCGTGGGCTTCTCCCTGGAGGAGCAGCCCCATTAGCGTGTTACTTCTGAGCAGCACCCAGGAGGCGGCTGTCACTCAGAGCCTCTGGACACTCCCCCTGGGAAGCCTTTAGAACAGAAAGAACGCTCTGTGTGAAGACCTCATTTTGTCCCCAGATGGTTCTATGGACATGGGTCAACCTCTTCCCATGAGAATCAATTCCAAACGCCCTCCAAGCCTTTCTGCCCACCACCAGCTCTGCTAGAGACCTCCCGAGGGGATCTGGTGGGGCAGGAGCTTCCCTGCAAAGACCATGGGCCTTCCACGGCTTTCTGTGGCCCTCCGGAACCCAAGGCGATTTACTTGGCCACATCAGGCCTGACAAGTTTGTTAAAACAAAAAAACAAAAACCAAAAACCCAATCATAACACTTTAGAGTATATCTGGGTAAGTCCAGAAACACCTTCTACCCCAAGCAGAAGGCATCGCTTAAACCATAAAGAAATCTCTAGCATTATATTAATAAGCCCCAGGGATCTGGGGATACAGGCACTTAGAAGGCTCTACCCCAGGCTTTCCCCTAGACCTGTGTCCTCTCCTTTTTTTGAGTGACACCTGCTGGCAAGTCCTGGGAGGGCACGAGGACCTCCAGCATGGAGGAGGCCAGGCCTACTGTTGCCTTTTGGGATGTGGTCAGAGCGAGAGTCATAGATGATTATGTGAATCAATCAGTGCATTCATAAATAAAGACCCAAGAGTACGCCATGACCAGTACGAGAAAGTAGACTGGCATAATTTAAAAAGATTTCCAATAAGGGTTGAAACACGGAGTGTTTTTTTTTTTCTTGCCAACGCTCAGTTAACCAGGAAATTAAATCAACACGAACAGGGGCCTCCTCGTTAATGGCAGCTTTTCTGGATTGCGGCAATCACGCTCCTTCATAACGCTGATAATCCCTGACGTCGGCACAGTACGTTATTCTTCTTGGGGCACTTCCCAGCCATTCTCTCGTGCGGTGCCCGAGTGGGCCGGGGAGGCCGGGCAGGGCCAGGCAGGGCCGGGGAGAGCGCCCTCCGTCTGCAGCCAGTGGACTGCGGCAAAGCTGTGTGGCGGGGACAGAGCCTGGGCTGGAAGCCAGGGTTCGGACTCCAAATTCCAGGCCTGCCAAGACATCTGGTGGCCTCTTTTTGGCTTGGTCTAAGTGCTTTCCCGCCTTGCATTTCACTTTATCCTTGCAATATGCCCCAGAGCTAGGCAGGTAGGTCTGTTCTGTGCATCGCATGGATGGGGAGTCAGGAGGAATGGGTGGTACTTCCAAGTCCCTGCCTTGTGCCCCTCCTACAGATGCACTGGCCTCCCCAGGGTCGTGTCTGGGCTGGGGGTTCCTGCCTGGGCCTGGCCAGGTGGCAGCACTAGCTTCTGAGCAAGACAAGAAAGGATCAAAGGGCTGCAGGCCCCCCAGAGCCCCCGGGGTTCATCTGATCCCAGCCCCTGTGCAGGAGCACACGGGAAAGAAGCCAGGATGTCAGCTGCTTGGGAGACGAAAGGGCTGCAGCTTCCTGCCCCATGGCCTCACTGAGCTCGGCTGGGGTCCTTGGGGAGGCTGTGGGGGGTGGGGCAAGGTGGTGGAACTTGGGGAGCAAAGGGCCACCTTCACTGTGCACCCAGAGTTTTAGGAAGCTCTGTTCCTTCTTCAGGGCCTAGCTGCATTTCTGCATAACCAGCTTCCATTCGGTCTCTGAGGACAGGCACAAGGATCGCCTCCTCCTCCAGGAAGTCTTCCCTGATACTTCACCCTCCATAGGTCCACCACGGCAGGATGGGATTTGTGTCTTCCCAGTCTGTGGGCCTCTGCCTCCCTGAACTCCCTCACAACAGGGACAGTGTCTGGCAATGACCAGTGCTCATTTCGTGTTTGTAGAATTGAATTAGGCTGTCTCGGGACTCCCCATCCTCACGCTTCCCAGCTTGTGTGCCACCGACATCTGGCTTCTCGTTTCTGGGTCTACGAAGGGCAGAGCAGTCTTTTCCGAAAACACGTTCCTAGGAAGCCAAGAGGCAAGGCTGATCCCTACCCTTTCTCGGGTCTCAGGCCTCTTGGAGAATTTGATGAAGGCTGTGGATAGCCCACGCCCAGCTTCAAACTACCCAAGGCTCATCAACCCTGCATTTCAGGGGTTCACAGATCCAGTGGCCTGTGTACCCCACATCTGTAAACACTGATCTAGGGGGTCTAGATCCATCACTGTTCCTGTTGAATCAGGGAATGTGCCCAACGTGGAGGCTTTGCTCTGGTCCTGTGGCTGCTCTGTGGCCTTGATACAGTCAGGAAGAAGGTGCCAACCCGTGAGGGTTCGAGGAGTCTGGGCTTGGGATTAAGAACCACAGGAGCAGACGGCATCATGGTCTGTGTCTCCAGCAAAGATTCCACCCTCGGGCCTGGGGATCCTGCGGCTGAAATTCCCAAGATGATTTTTAAGGGATGACTTCCTGGCTGGGACTGGTTTTAAGACACATTAAATGGAAGTGATTGAAGTGTTTTTGGAAATTTGGGGCACACATTGCCTCTTGGCAACGTGGCGATTTTATTCATTAGTGGTATGTTTTTTTTTTTTTTAAAGATTTTATTTATTTATTTGACAGAGATCACAAGTAGGCAGAGAGGCAGGCAGAAAGAGAGAGGAGGAAGCAGGCTCCCTGCTGAGCAGAGAGCCCGATGTGGGGCTCAATCCCAGGACCCTGGGATCATGACCTGAGCCGAAGGCGGAGGCTTTAACCCACTGAGCCACCCAGGTGCCCTAGTGGCACATTTTATTGGGTGTTTTCGGGAGAAAAATGTATTAGCCAGAGAGTTCCAGTGCATGAGCTTCAGGAAGTGCTCCTAACAGAGTCAGATCCTGGCCCAGAGCTGCTCTGCTGGCTGTGCACGGGGTGGGGGGCGGGGGGGGGAGGAGGTGCTCACCCATGCCCTGCTCGGGGGGACCCAGCCGAGATGCAGCCCAGCAGACCCGCCAGGACTCCGGATTCTGGACGGTTGTGCAGCAACCTGGCCTTTGTCTTCCTGGGCTGCTTGCATGTTTCCCTGGGGTTTGCCACTCAGGTCCGGTCTTACAGGTTAGGGGACATACAACAGGCTGTCTAGAGGCTCCTCCCTGGGCGAGGGGACTTCTGTGAACATACTAGAGCTGAAGCCCACAAAGGCAGCAGGACCCTTGAAGATGAGTCTCCTCCCCACCCCCCTGAATTCCAGGAGGCCCAGTCTGGTACTGAAGGCCTGGGAGAGGGAGATCTATGGGGTGGGCTGCTGCTGAGGGTATGTAAGAGTCTCAGACATTCCAGAAGATTCAGGAAAGCCCAGTGGACTAGGTGATCCCACCCCTTCCTTTTGATGCCTCAAGTTCCTCACGCGCAGGTGGAAACAGCCACCGCAGGGCCCCTGAGAGGAGTGAGGTGCCCTCCGGACAGGAAGGAGTCCCGCTCCTCTAACTCCCGCGCACCACCGGGCCAGGCCTCAAACCAAACCGAACTCTGGTATTTTTCCGACAGAAAGACCGGAGTGAAGCTAGTGGGCAGTTTATCCGCTTAAAACGCGCCCCCTCTACACGGCAGCCCCTCTGTCCTGGTTTTCCTCTGAGCGCACGGAGACTCCCCTTCCTCCGCGCCTCCCGGCGGGGTCCTGTCCTGCTCCTTCCTTAGTGACCTCATGCAGCGCCGCGGCCCTACAACCACTGTGTGGCGAGGATCCCAGCCTCCTCTCCCCAGCCCCAACTCTCCATGGGGCTCAGGCTCATTGTCCGACTGCCCCTCGACGGGCCCGGTCGGGGCTTCCAAAGGACCCCTGGCTCCCAGGGTCGAGCCCGATGTCCGCGTGGCCCACCCGGCCCTCACCCTGCCGTGCACATCATTCTTCTTCTCACTCCTCCCCCCTCCACAGCCAGTCCAAGAGAGCCCTGTCATTTCTTCCACCCACTCTGTCCCCCACCCCCGCTGCCCGGGCCCTCACCCCTGCCGCATGGACCCTCCAGGGGTCTCCTCACTTCCACTCTGGCGTCCGTCCCCACCCGCAATCTCAGGCCAGCAGCCACGGTCCTGTGATTCAGGGTAGCCCCCCCCGGGTCTGCGAGGGAAGCTCACAGTCCTGACATGGCTAAGGCATGCCGTCCACTTCTCTCCAGAGCCGCTCCTGGCCTCACACCTTCCTTGGCCCACCCGGCCGGACAGTCCCCTTCCCCAGATGGCCTGTTCCCTCCTGAGCCCTTCTCCAGCTGGTGTGCTCCGGTCCACACGTCCTGCAAGTCTCAACCCCACCTCTGAGACCCCATGGAAGGGGGGGGCCCCTCTTGCGGTCCCAGCACCCTTCGCCACTTCCTGTTTGGCTCTCACCCCCATTCCTTGGTTCTGAGCAACTATTGCTTGGTCCATTTTCCCACCGATGTATGAGCTCCGAAGGCCAGGCTCCTTCGGTGGCCGACTCCCCAAACCCAGTGCCTGCCCCTGCTGTGT